TACAAGAATTCCGACAAAGAAGGAGCTTGTAATTAAGAAAAACTGTCAATAAACGATCAGAACAGATCATATTATTAAACTATGATGTTCATTTTTAAAATGTCAATTTTAAAATTGCTTTAACTACATTAGCTTAACTACACCGAGTATACAGGTTAAAAAGTAGTTTTCGAAAAATTCGATATCATTTTAATTCAAGATACTAACTTATATCACCAAGAATTATAACACAATACCAACTAAATCTTACCTTTTTTTTTATGCCAAAGAATCATTTGCATTTTTTTGATTTTGTTTTTTGATTTTGTTTGAAATAAATTCTGGTAAAAATTTATTAAAAAAAACTTTCAAGTAACAATAACTTTTTTTATACTTTTTAGGGACTAATAATTACTTATATTACATTATTTATTTTTAAGTTATTTTTTATTGACTTTTTAGTATAATATCTAGAATGTTTTTTTATTTTTTATTACTCTTGTTATTTTAATCCTAATGAACTTTTGTAGCAATAATTATTAATGTTTTAAAAATTCACTAAGATAAAAAAAAGAAATACATGATGCTAAAATGATGCACAAAAAAATAACATAAGTAAATTTTAACTATTATTTGTTTACAAAAATTGTACCTTGTATGTCCTAATAATTTCTTGAAATTTATATTGCAAGTATGTCTAAATTGATGTCTCTATTTATATTTAAGTATTGTTTAAATTGATGTCTCTAGGCCAGGAGCGTAGCGACAACCCCCCTCCCTTGCTCATCCTTCACAAAATTCTAAACTTGGCTCCAAAATTACTTCTCTGCTCCCCCTCCCCACTTTCTTCTTTTTTACAATAATTATACATGAAAGCAAAAAATTTTATTCTTAAATAGCATTTTAATTTAATTAAATATTAACCAGTATGTAGTGTGTAAGTAAGTAAAAAAACTTAATGAAAGTTTTTTTCTTGTCTTTATTGCTTCACACTTTTTAAATTTAATTGAGCTGCTATTTCTGCTTTAATTATTTCTTGCAATTAGTTTTAGACAAAATGTTTTACACCAATGTTGTCCTTAATTTGTTTAAATTCTTTTTATTGTGCTTTTTGCAGTTGCCACAAAAATTGTTAATCTCAAACTTGGCATAAGTGCTGCGATTATATTTGTGAATGAGCAACTTAAATCACAATATGTTTTTGTGAACACGGGTAAAATGCGTAGATTTTCTCCTAATACTAATCCTATCGCTGCCTCAACCCAGACCCTTAGTCAATGTAACACCATTTTTTGGCATGTTCTCCCTTTATTATTTGATGTATGCACTAAACCTCCTAACCCTATTTTCGCTGTTTATTCCCGCAATTTACCCGTTGAAAGTTTTCGCGTTTTACAAATGTCTTGTTATTGTTAACAATTTAGGCAAATCTGAAATTTTGTATACATTTTCCTTTTGAAAATTTTTTTTTTTTTTGAAAATATATTTTCTTTTGCTTCCATTTAAAAATTTATTTCCTAAAAAAGACGATCGGTAACTGCGAAGTGGTTTCATTTTATTGCTATTATGTTTTTATTATTAGGATTATTATAGTTCTAGACGTAAATTCTCAACATAAAGCCGAAATACAGCGAGCAGAGAAAACACGCCGGTTTCGAAAATAAACGTTTCGAATATTTTTCTCATCATGGAGTCTAATTTACTTTAAAAAAAGTTATAGTAACGTAGAAAAATACTTGCTCAGCCAGTTCGTTCCAGAATTTTGTTGATCTATTATATAACTGATTTTGTATATATATATATATATATATATATATATATATATTATATATATATATATATATATATATATATATATATATATATATATATATATATATATATATATATATATATATATATATATATATATATATATATATATATATATATATATATATATATATCATTAGCTATTTTGGGTTAAATCTTTTTGTAGGCGTCGAAACTCAAGTGATAAAACTCAAGTGATGGTAGATTTAATCGTCTTTCTCTTTTGCAATATTAAAAATTTCTCAAGTTGGAAGCCCATTTTTTGCTTCGCTCTGAACAGACTTAACCAAGGCTAGATCAGTTTAAATTAGAAGCCCAATTAGAAACTGTATATTTAATGTAATGTCTTACAAACACTTTAAATAACTTGAGAGCAATATTTCATCAATGAAAGTGAATGTCTTTTTTTTTTATAGTACAAAGAGTTTGTAAGGGCTTAGGACAGCTGTTTGAAAATGTGTGTTCCGTTTGACGTTATATAAACGGAGTGTCTATTCGCACGTTTTTCACGAGTGAAGACTAGACTATATTGAATTATAGTCTATTCGCACGTTTAATTAAAATAGGTAAAGATCATCGAATTCAAAAGGAATTTAAAAAAATTAGATTTATTATTATTGGTATTTAACTTTAAAATTAAACTAGCGTAGCAGAGTATTAATACAGTACTTACGTGGACTGACCTTTTGAAAAAAATGCGCACCGTAGTGTATATACATATTGACTGCTTATCGAGGGATAAGTATAAATACAGTGACGAGGGTTTTGGCTTGAGCAAACTTTTTTTTATTTAAAAAAAAGAAATACTTCTTTATGTTTATTTTATCTATTGGCACGTTTTTGTTTGTTTTTTGAATAAAAATTTAATTAGGGGAAAGGCGCCTATGATGGCATAGCGGTCATATTTTCATAAATATTGGTTATGGCGAAAAAGTAAGTAGACCAACATCTCTATACCGACTTAAAAATGCGTCCATTTTGTACAAATATTGCTTTGGTAATCAACAAAAATTGATTTTGTGAAGTGCTGTCTTGTTTTTCATCCCTTTAAATATTTAAGATTGAGATTTTAGTGTTAAAACTCTGCAGAAATGAAATTTTCATGCATTTTACATACAAGATTTGTGCATATAATGGAATTCTTATTTTAATTTTATCTTTTGAACAAGTCACATATAGCTTGTTTAAATGAAAATCATGAATCCTTCCTATGATGGCATACTGACGAGTTAGATATGTTGAAATATTGACGAGTTGAGAAGACAATTTTTTATAACAACAACATATTTATTAGTGAAGAAAAAAGGAATTTTTACTTCACTAAAAGGTTTTTGGTTCAAAAAACACATTAAAAGCAATATCTCTTACGCGGAAATTCTACACTGCTGCTGTGCAGCACAAAAGAGTTAATTAGGATGATTACGCGTAATTTCTGGCATTTCTGAGGAAAGATTCTAAGTTCAAATGAAATGGTCGAGTTATCCTTGATGCTTACCAGCCACATCCTCCCCTATGCCATCATACGAGCAGTAGTTGCCTATGATGGCATGCTCGTGCTTTTTTTTTAAATAAAAATAACTAATTAAAAAACAAAAGTAATGAAAACATCTCAGATAATTATTATTCTGCATGTAACAAAGAATGTTTCTATATCAAAACTTTTAATCTTTGCCTTAAGGATACTGAATAATGAAGCTTCAAAGTTAAGTATGCTATTATAGGCGTCTTTCTCCTATGTTTAAGTAATTTTATTTTTATTATAATTGATTAAAAAAATTAAATTGCTTTTAAAATATATGGTTTAAGTCATAAACATATTTTGTTTGTGAGAGATTTCATATTAAAAATCTAACTTGAAATTTTTTAACATGCAAATAGACTATAATAAGATATAGTCTATTCCAGTGGCCTATGAAGGTTTTTAAGTGTTTGAAATAACCAACTTATAAACAACAAGAATTTTCCGAACTTTTTTACGTTCATTTGTATGACGAAAAGATTTCTTTTAAAAAAAAATTACTGTGATAGGAGAATGGGAACAAGAAATCCTAAAATCTAAGTCCCCCTGCCCCAAACGTGAGAGCAACAAGTTGATAAAATATTTTTTGTACTATTTTCAACTAGACTTATATTCATCAAAAAATTTTAAGTTTCCTAGTAAATAATTTTAGTGTTCAAAAATTATGACCA